CTCCATCGGATTCCTGACATACTAGGGTATCCTCCTGACATCCTCCATTGGGTTCCTCGAGTATCAGTGCTTGTTTGAATTTTAACGCTCAAGTTTGACACAACGGGCGCGAAAATTGATGCAGAAACTGTTCATCCCTGCTGAAAACCTCTCGAACACACAACCCAAGCTAAGGTATGCCCATTATCGCTTGTGGCTAGTTTGTGCCATTATTCAAAAGTTGAACCTGAGCAATGAAATTATCACCGAAATTAAACTGTCAACATTCCACATACAAACCAGTGTTCAAGGGAGTGACATACTTCCTTAATGATAAATGCTATTCATAAGCATCTAATGTTTTGTTCTCAACACTTCATCACAATTATATATGTATATATATATATATATATATATATATATATATATACATATATATATATATATATATATATATATATATATATATATATATATATATGAGCTATAGAAAGTTCTCAACTTCACGCCGATACACCTGTTTCTAGTACCACCCGCTTGGTCTTCGGATACAATTTTAAGCATGGTTCGCGCGAGTCGGTTGACAAACACCTGAGCGCTAATTTTGTACATCCAAGGGATATACAGGACGTTAGGTCTTCAGCAGAGTCCAAACACCCTTCTTGGGGCAGGCGCCGCGGATGGGGATGCGCACAGCGAACTGGGATACCACGCGCGTTGTTCTCGCAACAACGTCTGTTTCCGCGCAGCCTACAGCGGGCCATATTCCGCGGCGATTTTAAAAAAGGGCACCGCCGTCCACAACCATGTCGACTTCTGGGGTCAGCATTCACTTGGGGATTTGTTGACGGTGGGTGCTCCAACGCCTCGCAGCTGTTCTTAGGCGGCTTCACCATGCTCTAGCTGCAGGGACCTGCCGTCAATTATTACGAATATTCCAGACGAACGTACCCATGGCTTGCGCTGTAGTGCATGCGACCAGCGGCACAGATGGTCCCCCGCGTCTGTCATCACGATTGTCTCATCTCTGATGCATCAACCGGAGTCGACCTCGTGTCGCTGCGACGCATAGTCACCTGTCGCTGGGACACATAGTCGTCAAGGTTGCCACCGGCCTCGGCCGCGTCTGGGCAGGCTTTTAGCAGCGAACACCTGCAACGTCTCTCATGTTATCGATTCGATGGGCTGCACTTTGTTCAGGTCGCAATGCGACGAAAAGTCACGGCCGATCAAGCAGATGCCATGTGAAGACCTTATAAATTATACAGAACACCGTGCCATGCATGGCGTTCTTGTCGCTGACGGCTGCATGCTGATGCAATCAATGTTTACAATGGCCTTGTGTTTAGAAAACGTGATGGCTGCACCATACCATGCGTTCATCTCGGGCTGCTGAAGCGATTTGTTTCTCTTGATATGCAGACAAGACTCACTCAACATACGATCTCGTCGCAGTCCGGAGAGCGACGACAGGCGCATGCATGTGCCCAGAGCGTGCGTGGGACCGCGTGCTTCGATTGACCCAGCCGAGTGTAGGCCTGAGGTACCCTGCGATCCGTGCGATGTTTGGCGGAGAAAAAAACGCAAGCATTAAGCATGCTTGTTCGACATGCCCAACCGCTGAGACCAGTGAATATTACGAAAACTAATTAATGTTGTTGACTTGGTATGCTTGTTAACTTGAATTCGCGAAAGCGCTCAGTCACAGCATGTAGGTACTCGCGTTGTGTGAGATCGAAGGCCTGCCGAACAAGCCTTTCAAACCGGAGGACGATACGTGGCGGACGGCCGCGACAGGCTTCAGCTGCAAGCTCAGGTCTGCTTTCTTCAGGTCGCTACCAGATATTCTCCTCAGCCTTCGTCCAAACACAGCAGCGACGTCCTGACATTGATCGCATTAAAGTGCAATAGACTGCGATGACATTTCCTGCGTTCCGAGCTGAACTTATCTGGAGGAGCAAACCAATGCAAGGCCGCCCTATAAAGTATAGTCAACTAAATTTCAATTCATTTCTATTCTGTTACTTCAATATAACATGTATGGAAAACAAAGGTGGGAAATTGTCAACATCATTCGTCAGTTCCAACCTTGAATATCAACGTTCCCATCCAGCACCGCACGTGCGGGAGACTAGGGTACACCATGCTCGTCACTTCCCTCCCTGCGTTGGAATGATCAGCGATCTCCGGGTTTTCGGGTGATCCCGGGTGAGGCTATGGGTGAGGGTATGAAAGGGTCGAGTCAATTGTGCCACGCTACCGCCGCTCGTGTGATGTATCTCGTACTTGCCTCTGATGCGATGAGCTGCTTTGCGTTCTCAGCGCACCTGAGGCGGCTGGATTTCAGCAATTTCAAATGTTCTTAATAGTTTAATGAAAGGCTCTGAACTTTCCAAAAATCGTTTCGAATGACAGATGTCAAAGGTCGCGGCACACTCGCTCGATTTCAAGAATTATTGCTTTTTCGAAACAACTTTCCTTTTAGTTACATTTGTTTTTCAAAGTTCGTGCTCAGAAAGGGCTTTAGGAGAGGGCAAGTATGGTACAAAGCATTTCTTTTACGGAGGCCTCTTTTCCTGTAGCGTTAAGGTGGAAAACAAAGCCCAAAATGACGATCTATCAGCCGACCGAGATTTGTTGGGGTTAAAATGCTGCCTTTCTCAACTCTAATTTTCTGTCACCCCACTATCTAGCGTATTTGCGCCCGCGGTTCAGCTACATCTGTTTACACATACCGCCCAAGAAGACATCAGCAGCCTTTGATACAGAGCCGTGCTGGGAGCACATAACGCTGGTTGAAGCGAAGCTAGACTGCGCCTGAGGCGCGAGCGCGTCAGTCAGTCGGTGTTAATCTGTATCAGTGTCGGGTGTCAGTGTCAGTGCGGGACGCGTATGCAGCGAGGACGTGCGCAGGGACGGGATCTGGCGATCTCTCAGTGACTACCGTTACGGCGAGTACCGTCTCCGTCTGAGGGCCTCCGCACTTCAGTTCCACATTCACATTGTCAAGAGAGCTTCGTGCTGTGATCAGCTGAAGTTACGGCATTCGGTCGTTATTATCACATAATGCTATAGGCCATATATATGCAATATATATAATATATATATATATATATATATATATATCATGCCGTAATATTTTATATAGCATCATATATTATTCAACTTAGCTAGATTATTCACAACATTTATCACATTTAAGAAACTGTGTTTCAAATTTTCATATCACATCAACTTCAAATTCGCGTTGAGGTTTAACGGCTGCTGTTCTTTTTCGTGATGACGAATTCACGCCAACGTTAGTCTCTTACGAAACTTTTCCCGTAGTCGTAACCGCAGGCTCCATATCTTCGATCATTGCGCGGATTCAGAACTTTGCCCAGCGCCCAGACTCCGCAGTCAGCATGTCCCTGCGACGTCCCGTGGTCCCACATGGCGCCAGACACCAGCCACGGTACACGTTCCGTTATTTCGCCGTCCTAGACCCCGCTGGCGACAACAAAACACCAAGATCGGCCAACCGTCGGCGCCGCGTCACTCCCGACGAACGCGACGAGCGCGCCGCGCCGGGTCCGACCGCGGCCCGGCGCCCGCCCTACAGTGGCACGCTCACACGCGCTTCCACACTCGCACACACGCGCACAGGAAAGCCCTACATATAGGCCGGCTGACGCGGACGCGGTGGCGACGCGCCGTCGCCGTCCGCCCTCCACTGTATTATCGTTTGTATTGACCGGCAACGCCGTCTCCAAGCCAAGAGATCGCTCGCGCCGGGACCGGCGCTCGGAACGGAACGGAACGGAACGGAACGGAACTGAACGCAGCGACACGCACCATATTGTAGGGTTTATGCTGGCTTTTCTCAGGGACGCATGGCTTCTAACCAAGAATGAGATAAAATGACGCGGAAACGGCTCGCGGCACAGTCGAAGCGCGCAAAACTGAAAATCGCGCGCCAGCCGCTTGGACCATCCGGTGGACGCGGGCCGTGTGCTGCCCCCAACGGCGGCAGCACCTAACACATTGCACCGGTTACACAACGCATTCAGTCTGTAAAACGGACGCCTAACCTCACGCGGCGTCAGGGGCGGCGATACGAAAACGGTTTTAGTGGGCAAAAAGCAGGACATACGGGTGTTAGTGTCAGCACAGCTAGGCGCGTCATCCAAACCCGCGGAGCAACCGAGAAAAAAAAACGTTCGGAGTCGCCAGGGAACGTCCGCCAGATAAAACGACACAACCCTCGCCGCTCACCTCCTGCCGCGGGCAGCGCCACAGAGACGATTCAAACGAGTCGAGGCAAGACCAGACGAGTCGAAACGAGTCGAGGCGAGTCAAGACGAGTCGAAACGTCAGCCGGCCGCTAACACCGATCGCATCCGACCCTATCACAAGCGAGGACAGACGAATCTACGCGCCGTCGTGGCGGCCCCTCCAAGAGGTCAGGTCAGGTCAGGGTCGGGACGGGACAGGTCGGGTCGGGTTGGCCGGACGATGGCGGCCTTCGCGACCTCGGGTCGGGTCCGTCACCGGCCGACAGCGCCTCTCTACCGGGCGGGGCCCCACCCACGGCCTGGCGGTGCGGACCGAAGCGCACCGGCGCCCGTCGGACCCGAATCTGATCCGGATCCGTCGCCTCGTCGGGCCGGCCGGGCTGCCCGCGGGCGCCGCGACCAGCTGCGGGCCCCGGGTCGGAAGAGGAGGGACGGGGCCCTGATGGGGCGCTCGGTAACGGCCGCGGGGACGGGAAACATTAATTTCACTCTCGATGCTCACAGGCCTGGCGCGTGCTAGCCGTTACACAACCCCGCCGCGACAGTACAAACCGTCGGGCCTGGAAGCGCCAGCGGGTGCTGCCTTCGCTAAAACGACGCACCGCACTGGGACACTATTCCCTCTGACACCTGGCGGGCGATCACGGAAGTTCTGCTGACTTCGCCGGCCGTCGACGTCTCTGTGGCGCGCGGAGAGCACAATGGACTAAGTTCGCGTACGTTACACAACAGTTTCTGAGCTTTTTCTTGTTCACCGAACCGGAGCTGGGACTTCTCATCAGAGCTTATCCTCTCGATCTGAAAACAACGTACAGGTTTACTAGACACAGAATAAAAACGGTGACGCTGGTCAAAAATTACAAAGACTACGAACATAGGTACGCCTCGCGAAACGCATGCAGGGCGCAGGCAGGGCAGTCATTGACAGTGAAATGAACATAACAAAAATAAAATAAAAACGCTGCAAAAATGTTATGCAGAAGCCCCATTCGAAAGCGTCCGCGGTCAAGCACAGACCAGAAGCTATATTCGTTGGCGGTAACATGGGAAAACAGAAACAAGAGGCGGTTGTTCAGGCAGACATATACCGTCTGGTAATAAAGAGCACTTCGAGTTCGATTCTCGGCTACTGCACATTTGCATAAACTCCTTACAACAGCCAGCGATAAAATGAGGCACTAATGAGCTGAATAACTGCAATTCCATGTCTAGCAGAGAACACAACTTTTCAGAGGCGAAGGGACACAACCATGACATCTACCGGAACAACGCGCTGAACGGACCACGGCCAAAACAAAAACCAAAGCCTCAAATCTCCACACGGCTCGTGGCAAACGTGCATGGTAAAATGCTGTTATTCACATCTAGCCTCAACATATCTGACACGGAAGCCACGTGATTCACAGAAAACCAGATTGTATTTAATGACGCGCAGAACATAGTGACAAAATGTCCGCAACGCGGCCACAACATTCCAATTCAATGACATTTTCGTCACTCTAAAACCATTTTTAGGTTCTTTAAAGCAACACCTGCAAAAAGCCGAAACGGAAACCTCTGCGCCTAAAGCAGCCACAGCTCGAACCATTATGGCACGAGCCGTCAAAACCTCTCCACCTAAAGCAGCCACAGCTCGAGCCATTATGGCACGAGCCGTCAAACCTCTCCGCCTAAAGCAGCCACAGCCCGAGCCATTATGGCACCAGCCCGTCAAACCTCTTCCGCCTAAAGCAGCCACGGCTCGAGCCATTATGGCACGAGCCGTCAAACCTCCGGTCGTTCAAACACGTCAAGGTTGGAATTCTCATCGCCCACTGCCGCCAATGCGCAAACAAGATCAAGCCGGCGAGTTACTTCCCCTCTCCTACCGTTTCGATTATACGCTCCTCACGCTTGGGATGGGAGGCCAAGTGTCGACACATTACGCAAGCACGTGGTTCGATCCCGAGGGTATTTTGCTCGGCGTGGTTGGGGCACCAAACGATAACAAATCATTCAAGAGGACACCCGGAAACAGTGACAATGCCAGAAAGGACCCCGCCTGATTGACACACGTGCCACTGGCTCACAGCTGCTACCGTTATCATCCACGGTCTATTGCCCGGCGGCACCAAAACTTTGCATGGAGGATGCCGCCTGATTGACACACGTGCCACTGGCTCACGCATGCCACCGTTCTCATCCATGTCTATTGCCCGGCAGCCAAAACTTTACCTAGCGGATGCCGCCTGATTGACACACGTGCCACTGGCTCACGCATGCTACCGTTCTCATCCACGTCTATTACCCGACGACAAAAACTTTACATGTGTATCTACACAACTCTGCCCCTTGATTTATTTCTGACCGAGACAAAATTGCCGCCAACACAGCCTAATTAAGCACCAGTTGCCAATGGAACGATTCGAAAGTACACGTATGGTGTACCCAAAGCAGGTGAAGCACATCGAAAGGGCTGCTTAAGGACGCGGTTGCACAAAAATATCTGGCATCAAAATATGGTAGGCAAGCACAATTTGGGACTCCATTCGGAGTCTGAGGGAAGCCAGTACCACACCACGGGCACCACTACTCACTCTTAACAGATCTCTTCTGCGCTGTAATGAGAGGTCATGCTCAGTTGAAAAGATCGAGCTCTCGTGCGGAGTTTGAGACAGTCAGAAGACGCTGGGACAAGTTACGCGAGCGGGGGGCGGTGAGGGAGGCGGCAAACACGAACCACAACAGACAAAACTCACGCTTCTAAAAGCAAAAGCAACACGCCATCAAAATCCTAAAAATGACAGAGGTTAGAAGAGTATCATGTATCAAGAGACTATAACGTACTGCATGTGGGCAACGACCCCTAACTAACTGCAGCCAGCGAGATTGATAGCTCCGTTTCGGCCTGTTAAAAGCTGAAGCTGTTGATCACGAACCAATGTGACGCCACATCCTCTCAGTATAAAATTACGGTGCCAAAATTATTAATCTCAGTTTGAATCATCAAAACATTGTGCTGCTTTATACTCGTATGGAGATAGGCTACAGACAGAGCTTCAGACAACAGAATACCGAGGGCACCCGCTAAAGATGAGGGCTGCAGCGCACCTCATAACAGGCCGCGCGCGGGCTATAAATCCACCGTTTTGACCACATTTGACCTGTGCACGTATCAAGACTGTCATCACCTTTCAGCGACCTCCCGACCATCCAGCGCCGCCCTGGCAAAGGCAGCTACGCGGAATGGGTCGCCCCCGCACCGCGCCAGGTGTGCGGCGGACAGCACAGCACCAGCCAGCACACCGCGCCACACAGGTACCAACACGGACGAAGGCGGCGCAGCAGGCTGACCGCGGCGCAGAAACACGGGCACACACCCGCGCCGCGCCGCCTGACGCTCGCAGGCCCCGGCCACAAACTGAGAGCAGGGGCATAGAGCTGGAGCTCGAGTGACGTCTAGGTGACTACCGATTGGCACCAGCCGGCTGCAGTAGCCGTCGCCGAATCAAGCATGGATTCGAACGGCAGGAACTCGGGCGGCGCGACGATGCGACCCTGCGCCGCCGTGCTGCTGGCCGGAGAGCCTGCTGCGCGCCGACGTCTAGCCCGGTCAAACCCTCTCTGTCTGGGACCTGTCCTGCGCCGGCCGTCCTCGGCGACGCCGCGGCCGGCGAGCGCTAGGACGCCGCGCCGTCGCCCTCCGCGGAGACGCGGGACCGGGCGGGGCAGCGGAGCAGAGGTGCTCAGAGAGAGAGCCTAGCTGACTCCTGAACATCCCTCAACTGACTCTGACTCCTGACTTCTAGTCTGGCGTAGCGGGGATCGTTTGCTGACAGAGGCCTCCGGCAGGTGTGATGACTCGTGCAATTACTGAACTGTGCCCATGAAATGGCGCGACGGGAACTTGCGACAAAAGCTGCATCATGGCTCTTATGATATAGGCACCTTTGGGCACGGCACCCTGGTCCTTACCCAGCAGCCAATGTTAAACAAATGTCAGAAATAGTAACTAACACGATGACCATGCACAGTGCCAAGGACCCCCCATAGCCGTTTTTGGCGCACTGACTCGATCTGGTGATTACGGCAGCAGGGTCCAAAGATTCTCTGGACGGCACCTATGTGCGCGTCGTGAAATATAAAATATCATGCAGCATCACAGAACATAAGCCTCTCCATATTTCCTGGGCTAAAGAGCCATCAAGTTGGAACATTGGAACGTTGTCTGCATTAACATTTGTTGATCACAAGTCATCTTAACCTCCTCGACCGATCGCAGCCGAACATCGCATAAACACGCATACGATCGCACTTTCCTCTTGGTCTGCTCGTTATGATGCATCCGGCATAGAACGAATCATCGACTGTTTCTAATCTTTAAGCATCCGCCATTAAATAGCATTCAAAAACCGCTACACAAACCACCGCCAGAACAAGCGAGACCCGGCCACCAAACGCACCTGCACGATTTCCGTAAGAAGCCCCTGGTTACGGCATGTTGTGGATACGCGGATGACGGAGTTAAGCGCCCGTACCCTCTACCAAACCACCTGAAACGTGAGTGACCAGCCCACCCTGACCTGACCTGACCTAGCCGGGCGTTACGCACGCCCTGACCGGCCCGACCCGGTCCTGCCGCGCCCACCGCCGCGCCAGCCCGCGTCCCAACAAGAGACAGGCAGCGAAGAGGCGAGAGCGCAAGAGATAGATAGAGAGGCAGACAGCTCGAGCATGAGAGGGAGAGTTTGACCTGGCTGACCTTCAGGGTGGTGCCCGCCAACCTGGATGGTGATGCCCCGCGTCCTCCTCCTCCTCCTCGTGCATGGTGGACAGGCGCGTCGCCGTCGGGTCCTCAATGCTCTGCTCCCCTTGCCGTTTTTGTGGCGGCGATGGCTGCGGCGGAGCGCGCACGTAAGGGCACGGCCGTGGTGGCACGGAAGGCGTGAGAAGACGGCACGAGGACACGGCCGTGGTGGCACGGGAAGGCGTGAGAAGACGGCACGAGGACACGGCCGTGGTGGCACGGGAACGCGTGAGAGGACGGCACGAGGACACGGCCGTGGTGGCACGGGAACGCGTGAGAGGACGGCACGAGGACACGGCCGTGGTGGCACCGAGGCCGGCCGTGGTGGCACGGGAACGCGTGAGAGGACGGCACGAGGACACGCGGCCGCTGCGGCCGCTACAGCAGCGGCGGCAGTGCAGGCAATACGAGAGAAGGTCACGGTGCGACCACAGCAGCAAGACAGGAGGCGGCGAGTACGGCGGCAGGGGAAAAAGGGTTCCGGTTTGGGGTAAACTGAGCATGGAAGCAAGGCGCCACTACATCCTGTCACATAACCGCTGCAATGACATTACAGCCAGTGAAGCCTTGCGTTTACTAACTCCCTTTTCCTAACTGGCTGAAACTACGGGAGATTTGCACGACCAGCGGGGTTTAATGACACTCGAAACGACTCGACGGGCCCGAGCACCGCCCGCCTTCCGAGCCCCCAGCGCGCACGCCCCCCTAACCTGCGGTGTTTCGCTCCTCCTTGCGCCCGTCCATCGCCGACGGGCTTGCCGTCAGCGTCGCGCGGCTTGGGCTGCTTGTTCTCCTTGGTTAATGGCCGAGCCAGATGCCGGAGCGGGTTGACCTCCTCCGAGATGTTGAACGCTGTTCCAGCGTGGATCCGCATGACCGTTGCCACATGACCAGAGGGATGGTCAAGGTTGCCCGGACATCGTTGATGGGCAGCTTGCCGCACTCCTGCTGTTGGACACAGGAACGCGCCGCCAGTGAAGACGCAGAAGTGCCGGAGAACAGAACTAAACACGAGCTAGGTGCGAAAGCGGTGTTTCTGGTGGCAGCCGACTGGCCGCCTGGTGGGCGGGATCAGACGATGTCCCGGTATAGCGTGAGGGGGGTGGGGTAAAAGGTATAAGGTGATGGGGTGAGTGATGAGAGGGTAAGGTGATGGGGTGGAGGTGAGAGGGTAAAGTGTGATGGGGTTGAGGTGAAAGGGTAAGGTGGTGGGTGAGGTGAGAGGGTCCGTGTGCTGGGTTCGGTCCCGGGTCCGGTGCTGGTGCGGTGAGCGGTCCGGTGCTGGGTGCTGCCCGGGTCCGTGCTGGGGTGCGGTGCGCGGGTCCGGTGCGGTGCGGTGCCCGGGTCCGGTGCTGGGTGCGGTGCGCGGGTCCTGTCTGGGGTAGCGGTGAAGGGTAGGTGATGGGGTGAGGTGAGAGAGTGTGATGGGATGGGCGAGAGTGTGGGGTGAATGGAATGCGCGTTGCTGGGCATGCGGTGGTAGGTGAATAGTTGCCATGGAATGGGGCAAAAAATGGGCGACAGGGAGCAGAGGTGGTTCGAGGGAGTGACAAGTAGAGGTGAAAGGACTGATCACGTAATGCAGAGTGAGCTGCGCCAGTCAGCAATGAGGAAGCGGACAAAAGGAGGCTTCAGGGGCTGCACACACGGAATAAAGGGCCTGTGCGGAACGGCAGGCGCGAAAGGCAAACGCGAAAGCGCTAGTTGAGTTGCTAAGTGCGAGCGCTGGTTGTTGGCTCACTAGCCGACGCGCTGTGATTAGATATGTAGCAGCTCAACAGTATTTGGGTGACTCCCGACGTAGGCGTCCAATAATTGTCACAGAATATATAATTGTTCATCGCATGAAACAAAGGAAAGCTTGACAAAATATCAAACCCAAGCCCATAACTCATTGAGAGAGGAAGCCGTCTAAGTGCACTCGGTAACAGCGCCAGTCCGGAAGCCAGCTTTGACCACAGCACAAAGCAAGCTTTTGCTTCGACAAATCAAATATCGCTTACAAACCAGCATCCAGCCGAAGGGAGCCGGAAGGGCCGGCAGACAGACCGCAAGAGAGAAAAGGAGCTCACCAAGTCGCATTCCCCAAATCACGCCCAAGCCATACCATGTTCCCCAGTTATTTTCCCCCCTGACAACCTTTTGAGAGACATGCCGACTGACACTCATATTCTTGGTTCTCATACTGCGTGTGCACGCGATAGCTCCGTCACAAAGCGTACTGCGCACCGGCGGGAGAAGTGATGGTGCAGTACGCGCACGCACACACGCAGATTGGCATGGTGGTGTTGCGGCAAGTGCATGCCGTGATAGTGGGCATCCACCGAGCCGACCAAGCAAATGCCGGAGGACAACAAATTTAGCCCAGTGCAACGGAGCGGAGAATGGGACCAGGCGCACTGTGACGTCATTCCTTCGTCCGGATGCAAACTAAACTGTGCAGTGGGGATTCATTCAACTGTGTCCGACTGAAACGACCCGCAAGGTTATTAAGACTCGCACAACACGAGGGGTGTATTTTCCCATGGACTTAAGACTTCTTACCCACCAAAACCATGCACACCAAAGCTTTGGGCGTCGTTCGATCCGAACTGCTTCAACAACTCCACGACCATCGCGTCCAAGCGGGCTCAAAACGCATGCAACGGCCCGTCTCATGCACAGCGCGGGTATCATGCTCTCAGACGTCACATCTAGCACACGGAGCTCTGCACACCTGAACGCCCACCGTCACCTCCATCAACGCCTGCTGAAACGGCACAGACGGTGTCAGCGGCGCAACACACTCCGAGCAGGCGGCCGAGTCGCAGCCCGTTACGAGCAGTCGTGCAAGGACGTAGCCGAGTCCAACTAGCGCACTGAAAGGGGGCGGATCCGGGGGGACGGAGCTGGGGGGACGGATCCAGGGGGGGGGGTGGGGGGCGGATCCGAGGCAATTCCGATGGGGGGGGGAACGGATCTGGATGGCGGTCTGTAGTGGACACTTACCAAGAACAGATAATGACGGGTTGCCTGTAGCATATCTGAGCGAAAGCACTGGCAGAGCCAGTTTTTCATGGGCTCCTGGCTCAGTTGAGGAGTGATAACGTTGGGTCATGTTTACGTAACTTTTCTACTTCACGCCACCGTTACATTTTAACTTACCCAAATTGCCTAACGACAGCGGCGCACAGTCAAACCAAGCCCTACATCATATCAGAGTTTGGCTTGCGCACATTGTCAGCACAAAGTCGCCATCGTCCTTCGTCGCTGATGGTGCGGATGTCAGCCCCGACCCGGAAGCGTCAGCCCGTTCGCCAGCCAGCTGGCGCAGCCTGAGGCCGCTTCCCAGGCGGATCAGCACCGCCGGCGCGCTGCTAAAAGCACAGCTCACCCCTGACCGTTAGGCGCGTCTCGGAACAGCGGTAAGCCCGTGCCGAGTCCATTAAACCATTACCGGCCGGGCGACGCGACAAATCGGCGCCCTCGGGACCTGCGCCTAAGCACCGCCCGGCGCCTTGTCCGACACGGCCGGCGCGTACGGCCGCGCGGCGGACGCCGCCGCCGCCGCCCCCAAAAACGCGCCCCGGCCGCCGACAATGGCCCGCCGTGCGCGACAATGGCCGCGATGCTGCACACCGATGCGATGCAAATGCGATTGTGGCGCCATCTGCGCGCGCGCGCGGCGCCGGCGCCGGGTAACGGTGCCGGACGCGCGACACCGGTACGACACGGGCCGACACGGGACCCCACTTAGGGCAATGAGCGCGGCGCGTGCGGCCGCCGGACGCGGCGCGTCGGCGCGCGGGCGGGGCGGCGCTGGCGACGCACCGTTTTGTCGCGGTGGGGGCGCGACAGGTCCGCGGACACGCCGCGCCTCAGCCGATGGATCGCAGGGCGCCGCAGTCGATCGCGGAGCCGACGGGCGCGCCGCGATCGTGCGAACGTTCGGCGGTTCTGCACGCTGTCGTGCGATTAGCATTTGAGCTGAAGCCGTTCGATGAATAACGCATCAGTGACGGGGCTGACAGACCGGCGGGTGCGCTCAGTGATGCGGTGAGCCGTGGGAACGGAGTCGGGATGATGCCTGTGACGATTACGGAAACGTTCCGAGAAGACAGAGGCGCTCCACGCATCGCAACTCTCATAAGGAGCAGAGAAGTCGTTTAACTCATATAAAAGCATCACCCGCAAGCCAACCAGGGGAGCGAGAGATTACCAGGATTGCCAGGATCACGTGAAGAATTATGACGACAACCACAGCGTTGAGCGCTTTCGTTCCAAGAAGGCATGACCGCACATACGGCGCACTGCGGCGATGCCCCCATGACATTTAAATATCGTACCCACGTAAAAGTGGGCACAGAAATGACATCGTTAGCTAAATGTGAACAGGTTGACAGAGTTTGGAGACGGCGCGGCCTTCACGTCAATGTCCCGAAGTTAACGATAACTCATTTCCATTTCATAACCGGTTAATTATGCCTAGTATTATAAATGTAACCGGTATAACAGGTTAAACAATAACCTGTCGCGGTGCAAATGACTTTGCAGCACACAGTGCACGTATAGTTCGTGTACTATGACGCAAGGAAGGCGGATTACAATCAGAGAGCGCTAGTTCAGCACCGGTACGGACCATAACAATCCCGAAAAGCCCGCTGAATCAGGATCTATTAATCTTAACGAAAAGAGAAACGCGCAGGGCGCGGGAGCTAGGACGACTACGTAGGCTGAGACTTCAACTCTCATAGAGTCAACACTGACCGTGCGGGTATTGAATGGAAATAAATAGCCAAAACATTTTACCCCCCAGCATCATGGGAGAGCCTTCCGATGTCTCTGGCAGCGCATTGCGCTTTTCTACAACACGTGCGCATTCGTGCACAACCCACAGATACCTGACACTGAGAGGCATTCAGGCCGTTGTGAAGACCTAATTAAACCAACACATTTTCTTTTGCTGCACCCTTGGACAAACTCAGCACAAATACGCGAACGAATAGCCACTTTTAACGTCAACATCAGTTTCGGGTCCATTTTCTCCGCGACAGCCCTGTCCTACGATCACTTCCTGTCGCCCTGGTAACCACCAGAGCCGAATCGGACGAGCGTCCCTCGCCCTGCCCCTTCCCGAAGCGACCTCTCACCTGCTCTTCCTCCCTCCAATCGCTCTCCTCCTGCTTCTTTTTGCGCGTGAACTCGGGCATGGCGTCGTCCAGCACCCGCAGCTCGCCCGACGTGAACAGCCGCTCCAGCAGCTTCCGGATGCCGACCATCACCACCAGCTGCCGGAGGCGGCGGGCGTCACCCTCTGCCGCACGCTCGACGGCACCGGCAGCGGCCGCCGGACGCGCCGTCAAGTGGCAGAGCGCGCCGGCTGGAGCGACCAGCGCGCGCAGCGTGACGGCGCCGGCGGCTTCCGGGGCGGCGATCTCACGCACCAGGCCCGGCGGCGGCCATGGCTGCGCCGGGCGTCATCGAAAGCTTGCTCGTTTTACGGCCGTGAAACCAGACCTAGTGGCTGACAACATTGGCGCGACGGGTACGATTCGAAGACTCATGAGACATTTGTCAACGAAATTAGCTAAAATAATCCAGTAAACAAGTCCGCATTTGTGTGGCGCGCTGCAGCCAATCCACACTCACCATAATCGGGAACAGAATTGATGTGTACGAAATGGACTTGATGACCCAGAGCACCACGAGGCACAGCAGCTGTATAAAGGTGAACAGATGGACCCGCTTCAGAGGTACCTGGAGTCAGCATGGAAATGTAGGTTGAGCCACATAACGCCAAAGGAAGACAACCGACGTCATATGGCAGCACAGTCACGGAGCGATCGCCAGCCTGGCTTAAATACGGAATGATTGCTCTTTTCGTCCAGCTACCAATTTAGGTGGCCAAAGAGGTTACTTTAAATTCGAAACTGACCGCGATGTACGGCATCGGACAACATCATAACGTCATCACAGCACCCACTCGCAGGTGTAACAGAATATGATGTCGACCAACTAAGAAGAAAAAAAACTCACGAGCCGCGGGCTGGACAGCCCTAGAATCAACAGCAATCTCACACCCAACAGCTGTACCCTGTAAACGCAAACCTTCCTGGACGCGTCTCACCTGTCGCAAGAACGTGTAGTCCGGCTGGTACTTGACCGCATGAACATGATCAGAATGCGGTCGAAGAACTGCAGGCCCTTCAGTGCGCTGACGCCCATGTAGAGGAACACGCCGAACAGCACCGGCATGGGATCAGCTTGAGCAACGGCGTC